GCAAAACACACAATTACAAAACAAGAAAAGGGTACACGTCCTAATATACTTCATAGAGACAATAACACAACTTACCTTGAAAAAAATAGGTAGTTCAGTGAAAACTCGGGAGAAACTGGCTTAACCAGGCTGGAAACAGATAACCGCCGTGGTTGTCACGCACCGCAGCCGCGTCGCGACCCTTTGACCGCCTAATTAATTGCCCGGATGACGACTGTAGCAGCCTTTGCCGCGGTCCGCCGATCAGCAGTGGAGCGTCCTCGATCTATTGTTTTCCTGCGATCGGATGGCTATGTAGACCCTGGTTATGGCCACTGCAGTGTAAAGGTTTAGAAAAATGTCAAAACTAAAACCAAGATCAATGAACGAGAATGTGGAAAACGTTCTCAAGAAACTAGTTCATGCTCACCTACAGGTTACGAAAATTGGGCATCCCGCGAGGTGTCATTTTTAAAAAGCCCATTTCATGACGTGTTGACAGACGTCATCACACGTCAGTGCACGTCATTGATTGCACCATACTCAGGCTGAGGGTTACTCCATTAATTTTATGTTTAGTGCTAATTGCTCGGACGTAGAGGTCTTTCTTGCATTTTGCCTGCCAGTTCATTGTCTAGCCTGACATTCTTTTCAAGATCACAGACGAGTTCAACTGAAGTCATAGCATCGTTTTTCAGGTTTTTCATGGGACCATGGACAGTACGGCGCCGTCCGATCGCTCTATAAACGGACTCGTCGTTTTTCTCACATTGTTTGTCTTTCTGGCTGGACTAACCTCCGGATTACTTGTATGCTTGGTGAAAATTTGGTGTGGGCAAAAGAAGACGTGTGCCCAGACCTCAGCAGAGGTTTGTTAATTATTGACATGTTTATTTTTTAGTTATACATGACAATTGAAAATGTGAAGTGTGTTAAGTAGAGTAGCGAAACCCATACAAAATTAGGATGCGTCCTTACTTTGCGACAGCGTCCACTAGCGTCTCGAGCGTCCGACAGCGTAAGCGGCTCGGGAAGTATATCAGCCTACTGTCTGCAAGCGTCTTCCAGCGTTCGTCGACGTCTACCAACGTCCACCATCCGTCTCGTCCGCTATCGCGCCGTACTCTCCTCCCGCGGACGGTGGTAGACGCTGCTGCCCGTGCCGCCGGCAGACGCTGGCAGATGCTAGATCGATACCTATACTTCCCAATCCCTCGAGAAGCTGGTGGACGCTTTTAGACGCTGGGGAACGCTGGTGTCCCTGGTAGATGGTAGCAGACGCTAGATGTGAGATCTGTTAACTTCGCCAGCTGCTGACGCTGCCGGAAGCTTCAAACGTTAGTGACCGATAGAGCGTAGTGGATCTGAGAGAGAAGTAGAAGGCATGCTTGTAATCGAGAGTTCACTCACAACAATTTATTCTGGGAGCCGCATTAGCAAAAGCTTCAACAGGGCGCCAGAATATATGGACCTATGAGAAGACCGACAGTATTTCTGTCCGCTACACAAGAAACCGTAAACTGTGACAGTGAAACCCCGGGAAACGCAAGTAATAATTCCAAGTTAGCGTTGTAATTGTAGAGTAAAGGTATTTATTTATTTATTTATTTATTTATTTGTGGACGCAGTATATCTGCGCAATTCATAGTAAGACAGTGACAATCGACAAGTACATAAATTGAAATCAGACAATTCCCGTAAGTGTAAATGTAAGAATTTAGGATACCTCTGAAGTAACTACCCTGGTGGCCTTTATACGAAAAGCTCCAGGTGATAATTGGAAAATATCTTCACAAAAAATTTTGTTAAATAAGCGAAGCACTCTGATCGAGAAGAATTTAGACCTGACTTGGGTTCTTGATACAGGAGCCCTGATCTTGATAGTGCTCCCTCTAGTCCTAGAGGTGACTACAGTAAAGAATTCATCCGATTTGACCATTGCTCTGCCTGTTAGGATTTTGAAAGCCATCATGAGATCATTGATAGATCTTCTATCAAGGAGACTAGGTAGGCCATAAAGACGCCGTCTTTCTACTGCGCTTGGTAGAGAATCATAGCTCATTCCGGAACATCGTAGGACAAGTTTACGAGTAAAGCTATTCTGAACACTTTCTAAGAGTTTGATATCACATATTTTATATGGCGAGAATACTGAAGTCCCATGTTCCACTACAGGTCTAACATAGGATTTATACGCCTGTAGCAATACCTTGGGATTTTTCGAATTCAGTGCTTTGAAGAGAGTATAAATTCTGTTATTAGCCTTGGAAACCAGTGACTTATAATGTGTTTTAAACCCAAGTTTGTTGGAGAAGATAAAACCAAGGTCCTTTATTTCTTGAACTGACTCTAAAGTAACTGATCCAATTTTGTAGCTACAACTGAAACGTTCATTTCCGATTTTAAAAACCTTGGTTTTATCAGCAGCTAGGGGTAATCCCCAATTCTCCGACCAACATACAATATGATCAATAGCTCTCTGCACGTTCTCACAGTCGGACCCACTTTCAATAACTTTGTACAGTTTGATATCATCGGCGTACATCAAGCATTTGACCCCAAATTCAGACAAGGAGGTGGGGAGACAGGCCGTATAAGCAATAAACAGTAACGGTGATAAGACTCCACCCTGAGGGACGCCACTAGTGATCGAATACTTAGAAGAAAAGCTATCTCCAATTCGTACTTGGTATGTGCGATTGCAAAGGAATGACTCAATCCAGCGTACTATGAGAGGATAAATTCCGAGCGATTCTAACTTTGCAATGAGTTTGCGGTGTGGTACTCGATCGAACGCTTTTGCAAAGTCAAAATATACCACGTGTATAGGTTTTTTAATATCGAGTGCGCTGGTCCAGTCATTGAGAGAAGTAAGTAATGCAGTTTCTGTTGATTTACCGTTGAGAAACCGTGCTGATTTGTGGGAATAAGTCTGTTACGGTTCATATAAGCAGTCACCTTACCTTTGACTATTTTTTCGAAAAGCCGTGCAAAAACAGAAGTGATACTTATAGGCCGATAGTTGGAAGGATTGCTAAAGGGCGGCTTCTTCGGAACTGGAACAATGAAAGAGTGTTTCCATCGGGATGGGACTTCCGATCTCATATATGACAAATTAAAGAGTAGTTCCAAAGGAAAAGCAAGATAATGCGCAGTCCTTTTAATGAGATGAAGAGGTATAAAGTCAGGTGTTACCGAATGAGAGCTAGGCCATTTTGAAAGCAATTCAAAAATCTCATCTCTGTGGAACCATAGATCTGGACCCATAGTGGACCCACAGGGGGGAAGTTTATCAGAGAAAACTTCGTTTTCCTTCGCGAAAATTCCTTGGAAGTTAAAGTATCATAAGCTCAGCAGGTGTACATTGAAAGGGCTTTATCGGCTACTATCGAGCATCGCAACCAATGATGGTTGTGGCAAGGGATTCTTGGAGGGGCTGGAAAGGGAGGGGATTAGAGGGGTATCTCCGGGTTTCGAAAAGCACTAACCAATCTGATTTCCCAAATAAATACAGACCCTGCCCATGCGTTCAGTTTTCTCCACGGTAGTTCAGGACATCTCAGTTGCGACGAGAACTGCGGCAAATTCGCTGCAAATTGCGTCTTGTGCGCGTCATTCGCACCAGGACCACATGAGTCAGCGCAGCGAGGCCGCAGAGTGACAAGTCTACTATGAAGTGCCCTGCGACATGCTAGCAATTCGCGATTCGGACGTCTTGATCCACACCCCCTCTCCTCCCACCAGGTCAAAAATTGTGTCTCATATCTCCACCGCGGATTCCAATATCCCGTCGCAACGAGTACCTCCGCCAAGCTTTTCCTTGTACACTAAACATAGCCCACGACTACGTGTTTTTTCTGCGCTGACGCCCATTATGCCTAAATGGATTTTGGAGCCATAATAAAGCATTACAGCATATTTGCCGCATCAGTGGATTATTGATGACGCTATTAAAAGAGATTCGATGGTTTTTTTTCAGCAACGACAATCGGTTGGAGCATTTTCAGTACAAGATAGTGATTCTGATGACTATACACAGCCTCCAATCCGGGCACCGGCAGTGCGACGGTTTTGTACGTGAATTCTCAATTTCTCAACTGATGGAAAAAATTATCCTTACTGACTTTACTACAGTTAATATGGATGTTTTTATCGAACTGAAACATGAGTTTTCATTTTCAGCGCAACGAATCATCGCTCTCGTCCAACGAGGGCCAGAGAGGCGTCCAACTATTGAGGTGAGTGGAATGTTTTTTTTCTCAGGGGGAATATTGACATTAATGTTGAACTGATTTGATATCAAAAATGATATTGATCGTTTATTGTTTCACTTTTCTACTCAAAGCTTTGTTATTTTTCCCGGGTTTCGGGAGCAGAAGAATTGGCTGCTGTCACGCCATTACCGAGGCACCTTCAACCAGGAGCGCTCACAGCGCTCGTCCTCAGAAAGGTTCAGTGCAGACAGATAGAGACCACTGTGACGGGAGGCGTGGTGAAGGCACCAGGCGGGATCAAAAAACCGTGAGGCATTGCTAGGTTACTTAGCACTCCCTTCACAATACACTCCTTACGTCCCAGGTGGTTGCTGGTGGAGGCGGGTGGACGCTGGTAGACGCTGATGTTCGCTAGATTGGTCTATTCTTTCCTGGTCGCCTGCGCCGACGGACGTTCGAAACCCTGGTAGTCGCTGGTGGACCCTGTCGCAAAGTATGAACGCAGCCTAAGATTTCCGTCCATACGGGGGAGTTAACCTATCATCATATCCGTCTGGTAGGATAAAATCACTGAAATGTACGGCGACCCGGATCATGGGCAATTTGATGGTTATTTGAGGCTGCGGATATGGCTCACTCATTCTAAAACATAGCTTTTTTCCAAATCTACATCGATGAAGCAAAAAATGGAATTTTTAATGAGCTCTCAACTGCCTCTTATTCAGTTGACTTCCTATTATTTTAGGTGAGTCCTGATCCGACACCTCCTGCTCCTTCACCGCACACCATTCATGGTGCTATGGAGGACATCAATTCAGTAAGTCAAATTTTCGAAGCAGGAACATTTGCAGAAACGGGCTGGCCCTTCTCACTTTTGGCCTTTTGGCCTGCTTGGCTCGACGGGATCCAGTTTATAACCATGTTTAGGTCTCCGACAAGATGACTAGGGATTACTCGTGTGTGTTTTGTAGATCGAGGTTCTTGAGAAAACGTTACTCATTAATAACCTAGTTGATAATCTGTCGTGGTTTCTTCCAAGGCTTCCTACAGTGCGAAACCTTTGCGATTGCTGCAAGGACGATAAGGGGTTTGCAGTCTTCATCACTGAAGTCAGTCGGGGCTCTCTAGCGGCGCATGGGTACCAGCGCAGCGCTTGTCCTTTCTTCGCTGCGGCTTCGGGCATTCATTGAGTGCTTGGAGACGGGTGGTGCCCCGTCAGATCGCACGCGCCGCTGACACGCCTCCGACTGACCGCAGTGATAAGGACCTCACCTACAAATGATACCCTTCTGTGTTGGGCCACCTTTCCATTACTTGATAGCATTTGTTCGTGCCAATCGAACATGTTTACTGTTTTCACAGTGTGTACTACCCAGAAGGAAATTTATTGCTAGAGCTGACTCAAATATTACATACTGCACGACGATCGTATGGGCGGGGACAGCGAACAGTTGTGCCTCCGTCATTGGTGCGCCCTCAGTCCGAGACAGCAATATGGAGGGGTGAGCCCAGAAAAGCACAGTGCTCGAGTGCTTTGCCCATGCGATCGACCTGGACTATGGTTCGAATCGATTCTGTCCCACTTTTGTTCAAAGTTTTCTTTTTCAGGCCCGACAAGGCAGTAATCCCGTGGAGACGACGGTGAATGATCCGTCTTGTGTCATTTACTTATAGAGAACCAGATTGATACTAAATGCTACTCGTCTACTGCAAGCCGTGCCGCGAAGTAATGCCATATGTGTGGATCTAATGTACTGGTCATCCTGATTCTATGAGTGTCGTCTTCCTGTGTCAATTCATGAAGCTTTTCTTTTTTCGACGCTAAAAAGCTATCATTTCTTTGCTATTGTATGCTACCGGTATATACGTTCGGACATCAAAGCGTCCCCTTCAATTCCCAATATGAGGCTAACTCAGTCTGTAGAAAGCACCTTTCTCCCCTGGGACATTGTGAACGCGAGATGGGGTACCTTCCAGTTACTAGAGTTTTTCGTTTTTTGTAAAGCTATTTTTATAATTTGGTTCCAAATGTTGTACGGGTACTCTATTCGTTTTTTTTCTCTTGCTGCTGATTCGCTTGAATTCTCTTGCTTGAAGCTGTGTTTCTAGAGATAGAACAATAAAAACTCGGTATATTTCTGTCTGTTACAGTCTAATTTGCTGCGGACACTGGAGGGGGGCTGGGTTTGGCGCTGCGCCAGCTCATTTCCCACCAATTATTGTCGATTGACCTATTCAGCGATCGGTTGAAACGGGCTGGACCAGCATCCCCTTTATACTTCCCACAGTGGAACGAATCGGTCCCTCAATTTCTAATGGGAAAAATACTGTTTTATTTTATCCAGTTGTTGCCTTGCAATTGTTGTAATTGTTTATTACACAGGTAATCCTTTGTGGTGTCAATAAGAAGAAAAAAACACAACAACACAAGAACCAATAAACAGAAAAACAGCGCTACTAGAACTTAATGCGAATGAACAAAACTGCTATCAGAATCATGAACGAAACTATTTCATGATTCTAATTCATGAACGAAACGAAATTCATGAACGTGCGAACAAAACTGGTATCAAACAATGAATCCTAAGAAAGGAAAATAGTTCCCAATACGATGAATGATGCTTGCCAAGGTATTATGAAAGTAAAAATGGTTTGTCTAAAGGCAGGCCTATAAAAGCGCTTATGTTGCGCGTCGTCACTCCCGGAAGTATACACAGGTTGCTGAACTGTGGGAGGGTTCCATTTGCGAAGAAGTGATGCCCTGATATTACACTTTGTTCGACGAGTGATCAGCTTTCTAGAGCTACCTCTGGTAATTGACTCTCTGACAGCAAAAAGAGTGTTGGGTCTAATACCAGTGCGTAGATGAAGAATCTTGTAAAGGAAGATTAGGTCAAATTTTTTCCTTCTGAGAGCTAGGGTCTCCATATTGAGGTTAAGGTTCCGCACCACACTGGCAGGTATTTGTTCGTACTTGAATCCCACCGCTCTCAAGAAAACCTTTCTGGTAAAGTTATTTTGTACCCTTTCTAAAGCATTGATATTTTCTCTTATTCGGATTAAAACTACGGTCCCGTACTCCAACAGAGGTCTAATGTAAGTCTTGTATGCTTTGCATAATACGAGGGAATCCCTGGTTAGGAGTGACCTGAACATGTTATGTAAAACAACAGTTGCTTTAGCTGCAATTTGCGAACAGTGTGCATCAAAAGTTAGGTCACTGCGAATAAGGAAACCTAGGTCCCTAATTTCTTTAACCTCATCTAGACATACCCCTTGAATCGAATACGAGGACGAGCTATCAACTTTCCCTATGCGTAGCAATGCAATGCCAGCTAAGGGCTCATTGTACGATAACCGCTTGGCCGGAGAAATCAACGGAGTCACAGAGCCAGCGTTCTTACCTCACTGGCGCCCTCCTCCGCATCACGTAGAACGGTCTGAAGAAAGTGAGGTTGTTGACTGTCTCCGCCCAGCAAACGATGTATCCTTTAAGAAAAACTGAAAATGACGTGTTCCTTCGGCGTTCCTTCTGTTTTCCCTTGCTAATCTCGATTCCATTCCTTTTTTCTACGAAACTATGAGCTCATATTTCAGACCGAGTTTGTCGAGTCTGTGAGGCCTTTTCCGTTGCTTTTTAGGGCGTAAAACAAACTACATCACCCAGGTTGAGATTGTACCGTAGTTCCTTGCGAACGCGCCCGCTACCACGGCAGTGCATTGGGATGTGTGGAATGGAGGTATCAGTTTGTACCCTCATCCGACCACCCACGAAGTTGCTCCTCTGGTACGGGTTCCCTTCCCCATTTTACCTGCCATCTTCCTAAACATTCTCAGCT